ATGGTGTTGTCTCTCGTGTGTGTGGTGTTGTCTAGTATGCATGGTGTTGTCTCTTGTGTGCATGGTGTTGTCTCTTGTGTGCGTGGTATTGTCTAGTATGCATGGTGTTGTCTCTTGTATGCATGGTGTCGTTTCTTGTGTGTGTGTGGTGTTGTCTCTTGTGTGCATGGTGTTGTCTTTTGGGTGCACGGTGTTGTCTCTTGTATGCATGGTGTTGTCTCTTGTGTGCATGGTGTTGTCTCTTGTGTGCGTGATGTTGTCTCTTGTGTGCATGATGTTGTCTCTTGTATGCATGGTGTTGTCTCTTGTATGCATGGTGTTGTCTCTTGTGTGCATGGTGTTGTCTCTTGTATGTCTGGTGTTGTCTCTTGTATGCATGGTGTCGTTTCTTATGTGCGTGATGTTGTCACTTGTATGCGTGTTGTCTCTTGTATGCCTGGTGTTGTCTCTTGTATGCCTGGTGTTGTCTCTTGTATGCCTGGTGTTGTCTCTTGTGTGAATGGTGTTGTCTCTTGTGTGAATGGTGTTGTCTCTTGTGCGTGTGGTGTCATCTCTTGTGTACTTGGTGTCGTCTCCTGTCCTTCTTGTATGTTGTGTCTGCAATACCTCCAGGCTTAACAGGGAACTTAATGCAAGCCTTCAAAAAATGAAGCTTAGATTTGGCACATAAGAATACTTTATGTGAGATGAGGTGATTTAATGAAGATCAACATCCCAAGCTTAGTGCTTTCAGCACACACTCATTTCAAGTGTCTTGTACTTTTTTTTTATTGATCGAAATATATGTTCTTTTGTGACTCAAGGTGTTTTTCTCATTTACCATGACATTCCAACATACTAATTTTGTTTTATCATGTCTGTTGAACTGGTGCTTCCCATGAGAACCAATCATCTAGTGGAATGTCAAGAAAGGACCTTACAGGTTAACAAAGTTCATGATTTATTAATAACTCTTACTTATATTGTACAAGGTTATATGAAATTGATGAGTATTCAAGACATGATTGTCTGATAGATTAATTATATAAATCGTATGAAAATTTGTGCTTATAACTGTTTTTAATCCATGTCTAAAACGTGCACAGAATGGCCGATTTGTGCACGTTTTTGATGCGGCTTATCAGCCACCTCAAGTGCCAAATCCATGAAATAAACAGCCAATGTCAATATAGTAGCCAAGGTGTTAAAAATGGATTAAGTACTGGCATACCAACTTCTGCATAGGTATGTCTCTGAACGCTTGCTTTTTGGCTGATTTAGTCATCTTTTTTGAACTCAGAAGCCCCCAAAACCTAATATTGCATGTGAGAACGAAACAAATCCTGTTGTTTACCCTGTAAAAGGGATGCTGGCTGTTCCCTCTCTGGACTCCCTCCCCGCGTTTACTAGTACCGGATTCTGCTGTGAATTAAACCATCTATTATTTAGGGTTCAAAATTTTAAAAAATAATCAACAAATATTTTTTGGGTACTTCTATTTTCATTAAAAAATCCATCCACGCGACTTTCAACGCCGGCAGTTGGGCGAAAGAAATCATTGCAGAATTAAAAATAATTAATAATTCTTGCTGATTTAAAAATTAGACTGCCTGAAATTTCATTACAATGTCACCCAGTGTCATCTTTCAAATACATTTGTTTTTATTTTATTGGTAACGAAAGTATATTCTAAGCGAAGTTTCAAATCTAAACGAAAACCAACTAACTGCAATGCGTAGTAGCAAACGATCGCAGTTGCGCAACCCGGTCATGCATAAATTCGTTGAATAGTTATGAAATGCAAATAAAATTCAACTTAGTTTCATTGTAAGCAAATGATTCCGGTCGCATATATAAACGCCATGCAAAAGCGAGTGAAAAAAAAAATTATTGAAAAGCAGAAGCGAGCAGGAAGTTGGGTGAAATTCGTGCTGTACATTCAGGTCCTTTGTAAAAAATACGATTGGCCACGATCTATCATTCTGAAGCACGCCAGAGACACAAAATGCATTTTTGAATATTGACACCATTTGTATTTTTTAAATGAGCCAAAACAGAACAAAAATTGTATGCTGCTTAACCGATAATCGATCGAAACAGACTTGTTTTGCAATTTTTAACGGCTTCGTTCTGCTGAAGATTGGGTATAAGTACGTTATTTTAGAATGATTTTCATTTGGTTTCACATGATATCTGTTTTATCATATAGCATTACAAACAGTCCTCGGCATGGGTCAGAGTACAAGTATACCCCAGACCACTCGTTTTGATGAATGGTCTGGGTGTGGCTTGTGGGTACAAATAGGACGGATTTTTACTATTGAAATGAAATTATCACGTCTAGGGGTGAATTGTTAATAGGTGAAGTTATGTTAAAAAACATAAGTTGTTCATCGTCTTGCATACACCTCAACAACAAAGGTTTATTTTTTTCAACACAGATCTCCAGGGTGGCGTTTGACGTAACCTTAGAGTTAAACAGGGCCCAAATTGATAGGGAGTAAAACACAGAAGTGGAAGAGCTGTCCATGCATTGACCAATCACACAAGAGCTCACAAACACCAACGAAATATTTGTTGTTGTACTTAACAAAGGGGTTTGGCACTAAAAACAATGGAACGTTTATAGGCTTAACGTTGGATTTAGATCGTGTTATAATCCAAATCCCTTAGAAAGAGTTGTAAGCACGAATTTTCATATGATGTTAATGCTGGCTTGCCATACTATCAATCCTACTAAACTGCACAGTCAGTCATTCACTCTAGTAACTAACCACAGGTGACCTTTTGCACTTTGAAAATTGGCATAAAATTAAAAATAATATTTCTTTCATTGGTTTGCGAAAAGTTTATGCCAAAAATAAATCACTTGTGTCTACCCAATTTACTTGTTTCATAAAAAATAAAGTAACTATTGTGGTGTTGTAGTCCAAACACAGATAATAATTCTTTCTAAGTGACAAAACAAATGTTGATGAATTGTAGCATTGGTGATTAGGTGTCAGCCTCTGACCCCTGTCAAGTTAAAGGTCACCTCCTGTTGAATACACTTCCTGAGGTCATGCTTGGCATCATTTCCTTTGCTTGGAGCAGCCACAATTGTAAGCTGTGATGTTTTGTCTGAAATGATCGCATTTTCTCTGTGAATCTCACTACTTTACACTCTTTATAATTTCTCTTCAGATGAAAGTAGACATTGTGTCATTCCATTGCGTAATTATGTTATTTGTGAACACAGAAAAACAACAAATAAATAGTAATGGTCTGTACCATAAGGGATGAGCCTTAAATTTGTAAGGTTGGTATGATTGGCACCATAGGGATGAGCGTAACAATTTGTTAAGTGAAATTAGTGAAATTCAGACTTTGTTTTGTAGGAGCCAAGGTAATTAATGGCATGGTTGCATTTGCTAAGACATGTTTACCCACTGTGAACCAGTGAATTCATGATAACTAAAATCTGTGTTCAATATTAATTTTTTTTAATGAGTTAATGATATCTCAGAGAAAGTGTTTTTCACTGATAGTTCTTATTGTCATGGAAACGTTTTTCCATTCTTCAATACACTGAGGGCGATTGGATGTCAAACCCTAACCTGGAGGAAAGTCAGTCTTATCTTGTCTCCAACATAATGGCATGTTCTGTGTAGGAATCATACTTCTTATTATGGTATATTTATGTAGTCTGAGATATTAGAAAAAACTCATTGTTGTGGTTTAGTAGCTTCTACAAAAAATGTAAGCCGTTCTCCAATTGGTTATACCATTACGTGCTGATCACTGATATCCAATCACGGACTATATTGTAAATGATTTCTAAACCCCTTGCATTATTGTATTCCTTGGTAACAAGGAGTATGTTGGTTATGAGCCAGGTGACTTTATTGACTCACATTTGATTTTTGAAGGCTTTTGAGTCTATATTTATACATTTGACTTAAGCCTGTCACAATCGTTTTCATGGTTTGCCACCTTCAAAAGAAATCTATTAACAAATTCAAGACTGTTCAGTTTATTGAAAATCATGGCATTGTACTCCTGGTATATACCTTTTAATGTATTTTTCTTAATTGTCAAGTTTGTGGTCTCAATGTTGACATACAGTATGTACACATTGAATTGGACATTTTAGGAACAGACCAACTGTGTTTGAAAAGTGGGGTTGAGTTAAGATAATTTTAAAAAGCTGTAGCAAACAGGTTAAAGAAAAATAATTTGGACAATTAAAGAAAAAAATGTCATACATTGTGTGTAGATACAGCATTTAAATTGTTAGTGTGCATCTCCAGAAATGTTTTCTCTTTTTAAAATCCAGTTATCCATCCTATATTGTTGTGGTGCCTAGATCTTTAACAGAGTGATTTAGAAATAGCATGCCCTCTGTCAAATTATTATTTCATCTATGAAATTTTTCATTTGGTGCACTTCATTAATAATGTTTTATTGGTGAGTAGTGCGTTTTGATCTCCTGTTGTAGATTTTCACCCTGGAGTATTACATGTTATGTCTGTGATAGGAAATGTTGAGGTTTATAATCACAGAGGGAAGTTAATCCTAAATCTCTGTCAAACTGGTTTATTGCATTAAATTAATCTTCAATATTAGCCTGATTGTATACATGTATGTATCTAAGGAATATTATCTACAAGATGGGTGCAAAGGTTTGTGTGAATTGTCTACATTATAAATAATCTTTTATAACAATAAGTTACTTATTGAAGTAGCAATGATTTTTTGAGTTTAAAGTACAGTGAGTGTGGTATAGTAATGACGCCAACATGTTTTATGTAGTTGTAAGTTGACAGTGGTGGGTCTTATTGGTAAACAGTAGGGGCAGGCAAGGAGAGACCGGTCTTTCTTCTATTTAGAGGTCATACCAGGATGGCACCACTACTGGACTTTTTTGGCTCAAGTTTCATTGTTTATTCAAAGCTGCTGGATTCCACTAAAAAAGTGGGAGGTTCCAGTGTGAGGGCACCTTATTGTTAGGAGTGATCAAATTTGCATAAACTTTTTAGTGCAGAGTCTCGGGGAGGCAGTTGTAGTTGCTCTGTTGCGTCACTGCTTCAAACTGAGTTTGTTTGACTTTTGCATACGTATACATGCATTTTTGATACTTGAAGTATGTTAAATATTATACATTTTTACGATTACTCAGAGTAAAATTACAATCAGAGGAGAGGATCACATTTGGCCAGTCAGTACAATCTGTGCGGACAATCACATTTGCTGAACTGACGTGAAATGGACCAGTTGACTAGTAAGTCGTGTTTTATTTCATTGTATGTAGTAATCGTCAAAATTGGTATGTGTGTTTTGCGCTGAATGCTGGATTCAATTTTTTGTGTGAAATTTAATGAGGTGTGTCAAACTGGACTTCTCATCCTTCAGTGAAATAGGCTGTTATGTAAGCTTGGTAATGCTCACTATACGACTTATCATACTTGTTTTTTAACTATCGATAAAGTTTATAATAAAGCTATTGTTTAATTGTTGGAACTATGCCAGTTTTAGTGGGCATCTTGTGGTGACAGATATCTATGTATGGAAAGCATAAGCATTTTGCTGTATTCGCATTCAGTGATTCAATCAGAGATATCTGTGTATACACCAAGGTGAACAGAGCTCAAAATTTTGATTCTTATGTTTTTTTTCTCCCAGTTGTCGACCAGCTTCTTATTGGCTGTTGATTTGATATGTTGTATCTGTGCTCCATTGACGTCAATTTTGTTGACATGCCGTGACGTGCATCATTGCATATTGTGCGCAAACACAGATTCAGTGCAATGCAAACTGAATTTTTTAATAATTTGAGCACATCAGAAAACAATGGATCATTATTACTGCTTGTGGCATTTGCATTTGTAAATTATTTAACGTTAGGCCTTTTTCAGGTGTTGTGTGTGTTTGTGATCCCGAAGTTTGAGTTCAGAACAGATGTCGTCTTTGGGGTCTGTTTAATTAGCATATGGTGGCACAGTAGCATATAGTAGGTAAACACTCACTAACAAGCAGAGAACAATCTTTACACCAACAACTGATAACCATAGTAAAAGAAGTAACCACAGCATTCAGCCAATCCGTACTGATCACAGGGTCTTAAATATTTTCTGCTATCGAGTTACATTTAGGGAACAGTTTAGTCACCTTTTAATGACAAGAAAACCTGTCTCTTGCTTTATGGGCAGTATCTGATGTTCATTTTGTGGAAGTGGTGATACCATGTTGGAGTCAGTATGTTGACTCATAGGTTTTGCTTCTTCATCCTTTTGTTTGGATTTCTTAATGTCCAGTTAACGCACCAGAGACGGAGACGTGTCTTCAAGTCACTGAGAGGTAGGTGTAAATGTCCCACATTAATTTTAACAAATCATATAAATTTTAAATAAGTTGTTTATGCATTGTTGTTAAAGAATGGAAGAGGGACCTGTGACTTTGATATTTTGGTTTGCAGGAGTCCCTGCAAAGTAGGGAAATCATTTTAGTTTTTCTTATGTGTACCTTTTATGGCTGCTTCAGTTAACAGGCCTTGCAATGCACATAGTAAATACAAGTACTTGTACATCATGACTATTTATGTATATGTTTTTTCATTTAAAAAAAAAGCATGCATCATTCAATTTACTTTTACAGACTGTCCCATCAGATTCGCAGTTCGGTGGCAATAGCAATACATGTAGCTTGGTGGTAGTAAGAGTTGAGCATAGTAATAGCTCGTTATCACCCTCTCAAATTTCATTCAGCTTATTATAGGCTTAGCTTGAAAGCAAGATCCTGTAAACTACTTTTCCAGATAATCGGTTGCCTCTCACAGCAACCTTGTAGAAAATTCCATTAATGGATATCATATTTAATATTGTCTCAAAACTCATTGTCTTAGAAGGATGCTGGTTCCCAAAAAACATATTTAGATGATTGTAGCCGGTGATGTATATTTGATAATTTACATGCAAGCCCCTGAATGCATGTATATCTGGTTGAACCACAAAACTTTTTTATGTAGTGTGCAAGTCGTTTGCATGCAATGTCATTTGTATTTTACTTGAAATTGAAGTATTTAATATAGAAACCAAGCTATTATGTCAAAGTGAAAAATTCCCCATCATTGTTGCCCTTGGGAATGGTTTCCATTGGTAGCCATTTAAAAAAAAATAGTCTTTGTAGTTGCTAAGGACTGTAGTAGAGTACTGATATGGGGTATCATACTGTACTCAACTTTTTCAATGAATTTAATAGTTTCACGTTAGTACAGCAGGGATCGTTAGTACAGCAGGGATCGTTACTTTTCTTATTTATATAATATGGTTTCAATAATTTTGGTGCAATCATGATTTGTTGTCATGGATACATTGATCTCTATGATATTTTAGCTTAAGGACACATATATCACACAGTATGCTATATAGTATGTTAAGTCAAATGATTAAAACATATTTTTTTAATTAGGACTAATGAGAGTGGTGTCATTTTACAATTGTTGCTTGTTGCTTGAAGGTTCATTTTTTTCCTCGATGTATGGATTTTTTTTAATTTTTATTTTATCAAATCAGATTCCTTGAAAATATTGATACTATTTATCTGCCTTGTCCTCAGACTCAGTATTTTAGGTTTGTACAATAAAGATGTCTGAGTCAAATAGAAGACTTGTATGCAGTTTTCTATTATTGTAAAATAATATAAACTGCTATTATAATTTATAGATATAAAGAGATGCATTTCTGTTAATTTCTTTGAAAATTACATGATTTTGTGGCAGTGAATATTTTACTTGATGGGTTCTTTACCTGAGGAGTGAAAGTGAATATTTTTCATCCACTTGTCAGTCTTGTAATCCTGTCTGTCATCTGTGTGATTCAGTTCATACATTGCTATTGTGATTGAATATAAGTGTTGTCAAGTTTGGACAAGTTAAAATTGTTGGAATCAGGTCATCATGTGCGTCAAAGCAAAGCAACATTAGTACTTGAAAGATTGTGCCGACCCAACCCTAACACCTGACAGTCCAACCAATAAGCAGCTTGTTCATTGACAGTTTTTAGCTCGGCTGTCGACTTTGTAGAGCGGAGCTTATCATATGAGTGTATATTCCTCTGTCGTTCATCGTCCGTGTCAATGTTTTACTTTTTTGACTTCTTCTTGAAAACTACAAGCCTGAATGCTTTGATACTTGCTGTATATGTACCTTGGGTGGACCTCTCTTAGGTTTGTTCATTTTGTAATGATATCTTCAATTTTCTAATATTGGTGAATATTTTTGTCATTTTTGGTAAAAAGTGATATTTTTGACTTCTTGTTAAAAACCGCAAGTCCAATTGCTTTGATATTTCATATATAGGTACTACATGTGGATCTCTCTCAGATTTGTTCATTTTGTAATGATATCTTCAATTCTCTAATTTTGGTGAATATTTGTGTCATTTTTGGTGAAAAGTGGTATTTTTGAAAACAAGTCTGGTTCTTAATTGAAATGTGCATTGCTAACAGCAGAGCTATCTCAGCCGACAGGCTGCTTGTTTATGTATCAGATTCTGTCGTGTATACATGCTTCACTCAACTGCATCATGCAGGCACATTTGAAGGTCAGTCTTGAATTTGATTGGCTGGCTTATTTGACCTATCAGGAGTCATCATTTCTGTTGTAATTAGAATTCTATATGAAGTTGAATACTATATTAGCTGCATTAGTAGCGCATGTACTGATGTAAATTGTAGAGGTATTTCTAGTTTCTATGGTCAAAATAAGTTAATATTTTAATAATTCAATATTCAACAAACTTTGATTTATTTGCACTTTTAATAGAGCATTTACAGTACTTTTTCATGTACAAATTGCAAATACTTTACATATAGTGGATTTTGCACAGAAATCATTCAATGTTTTGGACTATGTGATAATTTTGCTATAATAATTATGGCAGTTTTGCATTTTATTGCACTATCCTGACATCAACTAGGTCCAGTTGAACCCAATTACCTGCAGACTTGAATTAAGGTTCCACCAAAGTAGATGTAGCTATTCCATTGAGTCTGTTGCACACTAAGCCAGGGTAGGGGTCTACCTTTTCAAGTGTTCAACTACAGGTACATGTAGGAGCTATCTTGAGTCTGATGCAACAACCATTATGTTATATACTGGTGACAGGTCAACCGATCTAAATAATTCATCACTTAGGTTAAAGATGAGACTATGACTAGATACCCCTAATTTGTCTCGGTATCTAAGGAGTTCACATGTAAACATAGACAGATTGTTCATGACACATTGGTCTCAAAGTAAATAGAACTTGATGCCATGACTCAGATACATTCAATTTTCTGAAAAAAAAAAACATTTGTCTTTAAAATAGCACAGCTTAATTGAACCAATTAATTTTTCCATTTCGATGAAAACAATGTACAATATATCTGATATGCTGATCACCGGGTACCTGCCTGTACTCCAGACAGGGCAATGTCCTCACAGGTAGACAATGACCAATCTGTATTCTAGTTTTGCACCACCTGTGGCTATCGATGGTTGTTAGTGACAGCTTGTTGACATCAAATAAATACATGTTTGTTCCTGTGTTTTGTGGGAAGGAGCATTATAGATTGTTTGTTGGACTAGGCCATTTTTGTAGAGGTGGTAGCGGACTTGTCGAGGGTCAACAATTTGACATTTAAGGGTGAGAAGCCTCTCTAGATTTGGGAGTGGTGTTAGGGTGGGGTGGGTTTTTGTAAGGGGATCTAGTTATAAGTCTAATTTCGTACTAAGCTTGCTTACTGGATTAAAATTACAGTACAAAAGTCAGACTTTTATTTTGTAATCTTTTTTAAAATCTTGAAATGCCATCAAGTTTTATCTGATAAGTTGGCTTTATTGAGAAAATTAAACAATGAAATTATTTGTATAAGTATCTATGGCAACTCATGGAAAAAATAAATTAACAAATTAAATGTAATTGAAAAGATGTAAATACAAAAAACTATGCTAACATGTAATAAGTGGTTTTCAGGTCCTATGCTACAGATGTTGTTAATAAAACATGTTTCAACAAGTAATAATATACACCAGTAACTGCTGTACTATTGCCAGAAACAAATCTTCATGAGTTTGAGAAATTTTATTTCAGTAAAAATTCCATTTTTGGTTATTTACAGCGAATATACAAAACCTTCAAATCTGAAAATTTATCAGTGAAAAGGAAACTGTCCATGTGCCTTGTGATTAAAATCTATCTACTTCAGATACAGTCAGTACTTCAAATGTTTCACAAAGCC